GGCCTACTTTTCCGCTTTGGCTTAACTTTTTCGGGTGTCTTTAATTTCTTTGCGATCTTCTTTTTGGGCTTAACGCTGTAATTGTAACATTTAATAATTACAAATCACAACACGTATATGATATTATCATGTCACTGGCTGACACGTTGACACTTGTTTAAAATTATCAATCGTGCAGCATGCTTACACTATTTCGCTCAATTGTCTGTCCAACTCCTCTTTAACGGATTTTTCCAGCTCCAACGAGCATTTCAGAGTAACGAATTGTTTTTTGCATTCCTCCAGACATTCACACATCGTTTTCAATTTATTTTCTTCGTCATTGATTTTTGAATCTTTGCATTTTAAAGCTTCTTTTAGTTTTTCAATTTCTTTTTTTAGTCGGTTTTCTATAACAATGGCACACAACAATTTTTATTACAATAATTTATTATGTATAAACCATTTTATTTAAACATATAAGTACTAATATCATACCTGTTTCCCGACAGCATTTTAATTCCTGTTCCATACACACAATCGTTTCTTTGCATTCTGTCAATTGAGCAGTGACCTCATCGATACATGTTTTGTACTGCGATGTTGCCCTTTCGAAACATGTATTCATATCCTTCTCTTTTTGGCAATGTTCTGCTTGAATTTCACATATTTTTTTCTCCGCGTCCTTTCCATATTGTTCTAATAGTTGTGTCGACTCGTCCAGTTGACATTTTAATTTTTCTTTTTCCAAGAAAAGAGCGATACAGTCGCACGATGTCGTGAGCTTTGATTCTTCAGAACGTAGACAGTCGGCTGAATGACAATCCGATAGCGATGTTGTTTCGAGTGGCAGTGTTTCACATTGACACGTGCAACAGTCATTTGATTCGCATTGGCCAAAGTCACATTTATTTTCGTCACACGGTTCAGGGCAGCACAGGATGTTATCGTTTGGACAGGATTCATCAATAACTACTGATATCTTTTTACAATGGGCTGGTGGCGGACAACTTGCTGGACAACACAAATTTGTCTGTACACCAATATGAGTAGATTCCTTTGTCATTTTAATCGAATAAGTGTTTTCATGGTTTGTAATATTACACGACGTGATGTTTTCGCCAGGATAACTGTAAGTAGATAATAGATCATTTTTTTTTAAAATCAAGATAGTCATATATCAAAATAATTAAGGTTTATGCGAAACGAAGGAATATCAAAAAATTATAAACAAATATTCAATAACAAATTAATTGAAAGTTGGCCAAAGCTATTAGTATTTCTAAATTGTACACGAGTAAAATAAATATAGATTTATATAGATTACGTAAATGGATTATCCGTCTTCAACCGTGCTTTTGAATAAAAATTTAATCATTTATATGTACATAAAAAAAATTGATTTAGTTAAATAATGATTTGTATTTAAAACAATTCTGCACCTACACTTATTATTATACGTATAAATATTAATTATATAATTTATAGAATTCTAAATGAAGTAATATACTAAAAAAATCACTTAAGTCAAAGCCTTTTTATGTATACTAAATTTAAAGTTTTATTTTGTGGTGCGTAAACGCATAAATAGTCAGGCCTTCCATCTTTAGAAAATGCTACATACAACCTGTGGGAAAGAGTTATTTTTCAAATTTAATCTACAATGTTTTAATGTCTGACCCTTTTGTTAGTTGTTGTTGAAGAACAAATTTTTGTTGGAAACTGAACTCAAATGCACCCTCCAAAAAACCGTAAAATTTAATAAAATAGATCGGTTCCGCTCCTTGATATATAGCCATATATCTATACCTATCATAAAATATTATTTAATGTATAATAAGTATTCCTAACAAAATTTCGAAAATTACAATTTAATTTCAACGAGCCCCTAAATGAGCCTGGCTTCTGTATTCCAGCACCCCTCCCTATTATAAATAATAGTGATGTCATTGAGTATTCAACTATTTTTCGTATAAACTACAAATTTCACAGTTATGCTAACATTAATATTATACAAATATAAAATAAAATAAAAATAACCAGCAGTGGTCTCCTATCTGTTTATCGTCTGCTGATATATCATATTGACATCCGGCTGATATACAAGTTGGCTTTATCAATTGCTGCATTTCGCAATTCGTAGTCAGACAGTTGACCATATTACAATATTTCTGATTGATTTCTTCTTTGAGACATATCTCTTCGTTCAGTTTCAACTCTGTATCGTGTAGCTTTTGTTCCGTGCAAGTCAAATTGGCACACGTTTTGTGCAATTCACATTTAACAAAGATCATCTCTGAATTCAAATTGGCAATTTCATCCTCCGCTTTCGTTAGTTTTTCCTTATGCACAACTAAATCTTTTCGCACACACGATTCCTTTTTTCTTACACATATCAGGGAATTATTCAAATCCTCGATATCTTGACACTGTACGTCATTTTCAGCTCTTAAATTATTATTTTGACTTGTCAATTCGTTGTTTTTTTCTATTGTGTCTTCAAGTTGTTGTTCCGTTACATGCAAAGTTTCACATAGCGTTGACACACGTTCTTTATTTTCTTCGTTTTCTTTATTCAATTCTAATTCTCGATTTTGTGACAGACTAACCATCTCACAAAATTTTGAAAGTTCTTTTTCATTTAACAGGTACTTTGTCATTAACAAATCATGTTGGCATTTATAATAATTAAGTTCAGTTTCTAAGTTCTCAATGTCAGTTTTCAGTAAACAAATTTTATTCTCAAAACATTTTTTGTTCTCATAATTAATATTTTTTAAGTATTTTTCAGTATTTTCAGTGTTACATTTAGCAGTGGCTAAATCACTTCTTAATTCTTGAATTGTGCAATATAGATCTTCAATTATGTTATTAAATCGTTTTTCTGCGACACATTTTTCTTCTTTAAGTTCATCAATTTTTACTATATGTGCTTTGTTTTGAAGTTCAAGTCCTTTAGTGACGGCTTCAAATTTATTAATTTGTTTACAGAGATCATCAATTTTATAACAATTTTTTATGTTATTGTTATTTTCGATTTCTAGTTTATTCTTCAGGTCTATATTTTGTGTATTTAAAAGTTTACATTTGTTTTGACAAATAATTTTCAGTTGTTCGGTTTCTTTTAACTGTTTTGAAATATCAAATAAATTATATTCTAATCCATCTATGATTGTAATATTTTCTGTAAGTGTTTGTGTTTTCTCACAGACTTCTTTTAATATGCATTCATCATCGCAGACTTTTATACTTGAACAACATTTAATGTTGTTTAATTCCTCTTTCTGCTCTTCAAATTGATTTACTAATTCTTCATGTTCCACAGTCATGGAACTCAATTCTTCTGTTACTTGTTTTAATCTGTTCTCCAAATTTGATTTCTCTTTTGAAATTTTCTTCAACTCGTCTGCCATTAAAGTAAAATCTGAGAACATTAAGGATATCACAGAATCTTTTTCTTTTGACATGTCTAGTTGTTCGTTTAATTTGTTCGTATAACATGCTAGGTCACTTTGACATTGTGTCAATGCATTTCTACTGATGTCATTGTCGTCAATTAAACTGCAAATATTTGATTTCGATTGTTTTAATAATGTTAAGATTGAAATACATAACGTTTTTGAATTGCAATATTCATCAATCGCAAGCAGCAACTCTTGTACGTCTCCGTAGATTCGACCCTCACAGACATGTTCTGAGTTGTCCACCACCAATTCATTTTCACATGGACATTTTGAATCCACCACTAGTTTATTTTCACATGAACATTTTGAATCTACGGGTAAATTATTTTCACACGAACTTTTTGATTCTACCGGTATATTATCTTCACATGAACTTTTTGAATCTTCCGGTAAATTATCTTCACATGAACATTTTGAGTCTACCTGTAATTTATCTTCACTTGTACTTTTTAAATCTACCGGTAAATTATCTTCACATGAACTTTTTGAATCTACTGGTAAATTATCTTCAAGTGAACTTTTTGAATCTATAGGCACTTCATCTTCACTTGAACATTTTGAATCTACCAGTAATTTTTCTTCA